AACTGCCGTGTAGTGGAACTTGCAGCATTTTTTATTTTCGAGTTCGCTAGAATACTAGAGAGCCTAGTAAAACCGCTACTCAGTCCCCCGTCTGCACGTAACACTATTTGAAGAAGTTCTATATCGCTATTCCCACATATTACGCTGTATCATCAATATTTTGTCTATTAGTTATTAGAAAATACACTCACGTAACCATACACCACGTCCTTCTGTAGACATCCGTATGGTGCAACATTTCCAGTAATGTACTGGCATTCAGTACTTCAATAGTGGACAGCTTCTCATCGTAAGGATCTGAAAATCTGAAGATTCTAGAAGAATTTGGTATCTAGGATGTGGGGAACACTTTGTAACTCACAAACAGTTTGGCAGCGATATCTGAACAGACCGTAGGGATCCATTATCGGGTCGTCGCACTTGTTGTCATAGTTGGGTGGACAAATCAGCTGCACTAAGTGGCTACAAGAAAAATCATTGGAAAACTATCGACCAACAGCACTTACCCTTCAGTTTACAAATATTAAACAGAGCAAAAGGTGAACCATACGCCTTTATTTAGTAACACCCCTCGCGTTTTTGCTTGAAGTCCACGCAAGCCTGAATAGCTTGCTTACTGCTTCCATAAAAGCCTATATTAATCAAGAACATGGGCTCCCCTCACCTAGCTGGAAACTCGTTTAAACAAAAAAATTTCAGCAATAAAAGAACAACAATATAGGAAACCTTCAAGGAGAGGTAAGGACCAACCTGAAGAGCTCCAATTCGTTATAGCGACGGCATGTTCCCCAACCTAAATCTGATGAAGTGATGGCCTCATGGCCTACAACGAGACTGCCAACTGCAGCTGCCCATAATGCTGCAATCATGGCCAGCACTGACTCCTGGAAAGGTTTGAAAGGCATCTTTGTACTAGAAGGATTGTTAAAATGAAGCACAATACGAATCGCAAAAGTATAACCGAATACGCAACAAGAAATGGCATGAAACAAGTAAAAAAAGTATTACAACCTATAAATAAAACAACTATTGAATTAAAATTGTGACGTAGAATAACGTGTGTTCCCCGTAACTGCTCTGCAACTGATGCATGTTATTCGACGGCTAGCATAAGTATTTTGTCCAATGTTGCTCTATAGAATTTGAAAATGCGGTGGTTATGCGTCCTTTTTGCTTCAGAAGGATCGTGGAAGGTGTTCACCACACACTTCACCTTCCTTAAGACGAGTCAAACTCTGGAATTTTTCATATAAAAATGGCTATAAGGGAGTAGGGGCTATTTCGTGATCGGACTGTCGGCAGAAGACTTCAGGGTGGATTGATTGTGAGATTTTTTTTTGAAAAATAACCGTCACAGTTCCATTTGCTACAGGAAGAAATAACAAGAGTTCAGAAAAAATGGAACGATTTGGGCGGCCCCATAATTCTTCGGGATTCTCCCACTCGAACATTTCGTCTCTCTCTCCAACGTAGCTCCGTTCCTGGCCACGTGAAAAAGCAAGACGAGATCGTAAATTAAAGGGTGGGTGATACTGTGAACGGAGTACTTTGCATTTCACGCCAATATTGATACCGTTTCGCTTCCATACTGGCTGTAGTTGGCGCGTACTTCGCCCTCGTTTTAGCTCCCTTGTGAACATGTCTTTTAGTTTGAGAAGGTCTTACTGTTTTCCTATCCACCACGTCGAAATAGTTATTATTGACTTATATGACACTTTTATAAAGGTTAATTTTGTGTTGACTACTAAGTAAGTCCGTTTTTTTTTCAAGTGCTTCAGTTCCTTCAGTACTCTCCTAAAGTGAGTCTAGTTGCATAGTTTCCAACCTAGAAATAACTTTTTTCATCCGTTTGATGAAAAAACGGATGTGATGGTCCTTGTTCAAAGGAACCGTTAATCATTCGTTGCTCACAGACCGAGTGTAAACTTCGTTGTATCCCAGCTTTTGTTGGTTCTTTTATTTCTCTTCACGTTTACCAACTGCAGTTCAGAGTCCAGAGAGATTATCCACACCGCTGGAACAATAGTGCATTTTCGCCATTCTCTGACCCAAAAGTTCAACAGGACAGGATTTCCTGCACGCTAATTGACCTAGGCTCACTGTGTAACAGCTGGAAAACGGTGTTTTGCGGTGAGAAGTACGATTTCTCACGAAATAGATTAGTTTGGAAGATAGAATGTACTCCAATCCATCCCTTCATCCATTCAGAAGTAAATCAAGCCTTAATCACTTCACGGGGACGAAGATCAGTACGGGGGCACTCGATTCTTACGGTAACCCTACCGTAAAATTAACTGCTATGAATGCAGAACTTTGCAGACAGCATATTCTCTTTCACGGCCATTTGCGTAAAGGAGTCCTCCACCCGTCATATACGCGGCTCATTAAGAAGGAATCTTAGACAAGGATAATGGGCGCTCGGATGGGTAGGTCACAGTTCAGTTTTGCATCACACACTCGTTCGAGGCACTTACGGCAAGATTACTGTATGAGCCGAGTGCCGATACTGGATTTTCGTTTTTGTGAAGTACCTCTTTAAACCAACAGTGGGGATTGCCAAAATTCACTTTGCTGTAATTCTGTACTTGTGCAAGTAAGAGCCTCTATAACTTGCCGATCTTACGAGTAAAACGAGTTTTACAACGGACCTAATGACGTTGGAGGATCGTTGTAAACACTGGCGAATACATGACAAATGGATGCATTAGGAAAAAGCAATTCCAATCGCTCTGTGGAGTTGATGGTGATGAGAATGCCCCCTCAACTGCTGCCGGATTTTATTTTTCCTTTGCCATGGTATAGGAGGAGCTGATCGTGCAGCTGATTACCAGTGTTGCATAGTCTTCAGTAGCGACATAATTTCTGAATAAAGAAGGGGACCACCATCAAAGTGCAATTTTTTCCAGAATATTTTTTTGGGATTCTGTCGCGTGACCTCAACCGCCATGAAGTGCTTTGTGCAGAGATAACGAAAAAGCCAGCTAAGCAGAGCAGCGGACTGCAGCAGACAGCCGGCTGGCTGGAAAAGCGCTCTTCGTACTCTGGTGATAGGAAGGCAAGCCGACGGAATTCGCTGCGTACCCCTCCTACTGCTCCCCGCCGATCAGCGGCCATCGCGATCTGGGACTTTGTTGTCATTTGCGTATCCCTTGCACTATTTGTTTGAAAACTTTGAACTTGTGGTCGCTGTAGTCCATTGGGTGTGGGAAAGAACATCATTATTCCAAACTGAAACCATCCATGTAGTAAACAAAACCAAAGCAAAACAAACAGTGCCAGCCCTAATCACTGATACGTCTCGAGTACGAAGTGTCCGTAGCCTGACGTTCCATCAGTTTTTTTCGTTAGCCATGATAGATTCCGTTACAACTGCGATTGAATGGGCTCAATGGGATTTTTTGACTCAGACGACTCACCAGAAAGATGCGCATCAGCGAACAGTGAACCAGGGAACAAGTGTCTTAAGGGGTGGGGCTTTAGAGTGGGTGAACCACTTATCACACTATCGACCTCAACATCAGATTCCGCCCACTGTCTCATTCATACTGCTCTTATATCGAATGCCCATAATAACCCTTCCAACCGTTTTTGGTTTTTGTTCCATAGGTCCAAAGGAAAGTGCCATAGGAGTCCTTACAACAAAGATTTATGAGCAAATGTTTCCTATCCTTGTTAGGGTGATCTGTTTGGGCTCTACTTCTCACGATTAGGGAATAACATTTGATAGCACCCAAATAGCTCATGATCTGTAAGTACCCCACTCTTGGCGACATTGTTTGTCTTGAGGGAGCTGTACATTTGAAAGAAGCGATCGATCTTCAAAGCTGGAGGTTCTGAAATTTGATGAGCCTTTAAATTCTTGCTACAGTCGAAAAATTTTGAATATGAAAGGCTCATAAATTCATGATTTCATACTGATTTTCCCTATGCTCAGATTGTATATAGTCGGCAAAGTATAGGTTTATTTATTAAGTACACTCGTAAGTGCGCTTTTACGTAAACTTCACTAGTTATTTGTAAATTCTGATTCCTTTTTGACGGCATTATTGATGGAATGATACATTTTTTAAACGTATACTTATTCTTACTGTTCTTGGTTATTTATGTGGGTGTTCTGGAGGATACTGGAAAGTAGTTTTTTTTTTTTGCAGATAGGTAGTAACTTTGCAAAGTAGCTGAATATCTGCGGGCTTGAGCCGCCGCACTGTTTGAAGCTCGTGCATGTTTCTTTCTGTATTGTTTGGTCGGTTATCATAGGATGGTGTCACTAGCAAAAAAACAACACCCTTGCTGCTGTTCTCTATGAAAAATAGATAGTACCGTATTAATACCATTAGTAGCGAAGCTTTTGGAAGTTCCCTAAATTTTCCTACACCATAGGTTCAACCTTCTGCTTCGTATTCACGCTGTTTTACTTTTTATTCGTAGCCAGAGAGATTCTTTTTTACCAGTAATAATTGATTGCAAGAGATTGCTAGTGTTTTTATGTACTCTAATCTTGACACCGTCTATACCCGGCGTTCCCGTTCATATCTTTCATCATGTTTTCGAATTTGACACTGGCTATACTTTCGATGAAATTCGTTTAGTTTAGGGCTCCACCCAACATCTGATGTACTTCAAATACAATCGGATAGTGCAAAGCAAATGCTTTTCGTGGACTTTTTCCACAATTTCACTGGATTTATACACGTAGAATGTTGGTTGGGATCGCAGTAGGCGGCTCCAACAATTCCGATTGCTATCAAAAATTCCATATTCTCAGCGTTCTCCGTAGTTAACAAAAAGGTTTATAATATGATTCCCTTTTTCTTATTAGTATGATCCATTCTCCGAAGTAAAAAAAATCTCGTCGAGTTCCACTTGCACTTCGTCGTTGTTGGTAGCATTATGTTTGGGAATGGGTTTAGCTTATAGCTCTAAACTCTCTTCCATTCACTATGAGAGCTTTTGAAGACCAGTTTAAGGTATTCAAAGTATTTATTGCAGGCAGGATCGGGCTTTTGCAATGTTTTCGCCGGGTTCACTTGCACGTGTTTCACATTTGATGACAAAAGGTGAATCTTCAGAGTTTTTCTTTATTCCCCTTAGAATCTCTGACTTTCTAGGACATGTACGGATGTATGATAGTACACGAAATGCCTTAAAGATCAACAAGAATACGAAGGTCATCATTCAAGGATTCACAGGAAAACAAGTAGGGTGTCACGAAACCAGTTGTCTTCCGAATACATTGTTTTGATGACTGGTAGTTATTTGCTTTGAATTATTCCTTACTGATAGCCATTAAGGGAACGTTTCATGGAAAGCAGATGATAGAGTATGGAACGAAAGTTGTAGGAGGAGTGAATGTTAAGAAGGCCGGTGAAACACATATGGGTCTGCCTGTTTTCCGAGATGTTAAAGAAGTAAGTGGCATTTTATTCAATTGATTGGGTCATGTTGAAGTTCCCTGTCAATTTTATTTACGATTTCATTTGCTAACATTTCATTGTGCAAGCAGCAACTGTTGTTTGGACACCAGAAATATGTCTCAGATGGATTTCAAGAATATGAGACTGTTTTAAATTTTTCGAGGTTTTTCCCTGAGATGAGCAGTAGCTAATGGTTCATCAAGGTTTGAGGAGTCTTCTAAATAAGCTCCTTTGAGGAATTAGGGGCACCCTTTAAAATTAGCTTTCTGGAATAATTGTCATTGTTGAAGTTGAGTTGGAACTAAGGGTTTAAGGCTCCCATAAGACAGACCTTTTCTACCTATCGACAAGCGGCTCAATCTTTTGTTTATAACGTTTTCGAAATTATTGGATTGACTTTTAAAGATAGACTTTCGGGGGACAATGATCCTAATCTGTAAGCTTTTCATACCAAGACCTCACTTCTTCTTCATTTCGTTGCAGACATTCACCACTTTTTTCTAAAGTACAACTGAAGCTAGTTGACAGGCGTGGGGTTGTCGTCGCTGTGCGACACGCACTCTTTTTTCTGGGGCTTAAAAACGATTCAAACAGCAGCTGCTTTTCCGGATTTTCCTCATCTTTGTGACGTCATTTTTGTTCGTAAACCTTCAAACTCTCTATATGTTTTTACGATGTGTATTACTGCGGGTTTCCCTTTTCTATAATGATAGGGGAAGAGAGTAATATTTGCAAACAATGAAATTAGTAATGTTGCAGGCTCGGGAAAAGACAGGCGCTGATGCATCAGTTATTTACGTTCCTGCTCCTTTTGCGGCTGCCGCTATTGACGAAGCTATGGATGCCGAAATTCCACTTGTCGTATGTATAACTGAGGGTATTCCGCAACAGGTATGTTTTTTTTGTAATTATTGCAAGTTTCTGCTAAAGATTTATTTTCACCAAAAGATACGGACCAGCAATATTCCTATTAGTTATCTTTCCATTTTCTTTTTCCGAGCTGCTTTCTTACTATCGTTGTCACTCGGTAAATGGATTTGTCTGAAACAACTAAAAGACTTATTTTGGGTTGGTCGAAATGGTTTGGTCTCACCCTCTGTAGTTTTTCATATGTTTTGAAACAATTCAGTTTTCCACTTCTTGCAGAGCGAAATAATCACTCCTCTCTTCAAGGACGAGTTGGAAAGAATGCCATGGGTCCTTGCAAGACTGCAAAAAAACGTTCTAGCCATAAAGTGGACATGCGTCCTTTCTCCTCATTTGGGGTTGGCATTAAATGGAGAAGAGGTTGAGGAAGTGGAGGGGTTGGGAATATTTCTTCAAGCTTTAAACCTTTGTTTGTATGATATAACTAAGTAGATCATGGCATGGGACTTCAGATTCAGAGGAAAATGATGAATATGATGGGGGCTGGTAAAATTCTCGCTACTCTGCGATCTTTCAGGATATGGTTCGAGTGAAGAATCGCCTTATGAAACAGAATAAGACCCGCCTCGTCGGTCCAAACTGTCCAGGAATTATTTCTGCAGAAGAATGTAAAATAGGAATTATGCCAGGTCATATCCACAAAAAGGTTCGCTTTCGTATTATTTTTCAGTACAAGTCTCCCTACTTTCATTTTCAAGGGTATCATCGGGATCGTGTCACGGTCTGGTACGCTCACATATGAAGCGGTGCATCAGACGACGGTGGCTGGCCTCGGTCAAACGCTCTGCGTTGGAATAGGAGGCGATCCTTTCAATGGAACTAACTTCATAGATTGTCTCAGCATTTTCCTGGAAGACCCACATACTAAAGGTATTACTCTTCTCTTTTAATGTTGATGACTTTTGTACGATGTTTTTTCTTGGATTCTTCATTTGTAGTTTTGTTTTATTTTTTAATGTTCTTTTATTTTATTTGTTTATCTTTTAGTTTTTTAATCGAATTTTGCAATAGCAGTGAAAGTCAAACGGAAAGATCGTTCCATCATGTTTCAGGAATAATTTTGATTGGAGAGATTGGCGGTTCTGCAGAGGAAGAAGCCGCAAAGTTCCTGAAGGAGAATAATGTTGTAAGTTGTTTCGTTGTCGAACCCATTATTCATCAAAAGAACGATCGATTAGTCTAACAGTGTTGTAACGGTTGCTGATTACCAGTAAAACTGCACAGGATGACACGTAAAACTCTTGTGGCGCAGTTTATTTGTTTTTATTTGCAACAGTTATGATATGCCTGTCAGTGAAATTGATCAATGGAGGGGTCAGATCGGTTACTCATTCGGCGAGTGAGAGATGAAAATCATAGGCAGAGGTGTTTTGCTTGATGAACTACATATATTCCTCCTTCCATTTATCATCCCAAAGCGATCAATGTTTGTGCTCGTCCAGCATGGGCTACCTAGTGCTATTCCAGTCTAGCAGGGTAGAAAAACATTTCTGAACATCGACTGATAGCCATAGCCATTTTTTATAGCTGGTATGACGACAAATGCTTCAATCCTGGAAGGTAATGTAGTGCATACGGCTAATCCTCTAAAATTCGATCGAAGTATTACAAAAGGATATCCATTTTTCATCGACTGTTTACGTTAAATTTTGTTTTTTTTTATCTCGCTTTCACCAGCTAATTATCAAAATTTGAGATGTTCATTGGATCGAGTACTTTCCATTTTCCTAAGGCTCTGCTCCCCGTTGTTCCGATTGATGCGTCGTTATGCGACTGGGTATGATCGCGGGAAACTTTTATCAAAACGGCTTAGCCCACTTAACGATGCTTTGTCGCAACGTCATTTGCTATGTGGCGGCTCCATTACTCAGAAGCAGGAACGATTGTTCTTCTGCAGACGCAGTTGTCATGATAATTTTTCTGGGACTGCGTGAGAATCGGAGCCCTGCCAATTCCTTTATGGCGCCTTCACCATTGGAATAGATTCACGTGATTCCATTGTACACTGGTTTTGGTTGCCACAACGGAAACACCAAAAAAAAGTTTTTTTTTTTACTGGGAAACACAGTTTTTTCCGGAGAAACGCCAAATTGCATCGCTTTCACCTTGTCCGGTTTGATTGTTGGAAAAAACATCAACTTTCGTCCATGTTACCGGTCTTCTTTTTATTTACGAAGTAGTGGAAAAAAAACATAGATTAAGTCAGTTCATTGAGATCAAACTATCCAATGCATAAGGTCGTTCCCAACTTTTTATTCTCAATATGATATGTTTACAGTCTTTTAGAAATTGTTGTCTTCATTATTTGCTTCAGTGGATTATCTCTGTTTATAGGGTAAGAACTCTATTCTATTAGAAGTTTGATCATCGTATCCCCCAGTAACATTCTTCGCCCTTACCGAGTCAGTCCATTTTTATTTAAGTAGTAAAGCGTAACAGAGTATGGTTGTTTGCCGGTTCGCACTCTTCAGAGTAGGGATCGTGAATCGCCCCTGGTTGTAGTTAAGATTATCACATGTGTTTATTGGCAGAAAAAGTTTATTGGCAGTGTAATGACCGTTGATTACTTATCATTACATTTATTATCATTTTATTTTGTTGCATATTTGTGCGATTTGGTTATCCTTTTTCTCATTATATTCGAGGGCATTTCATGGAATATCGCATAAGGGGAATTGAATTATTATATTTAGTTTGCATGCATTAGGTCATGTTGAGAGGATGCTTGAGTCGAACAGAGATGTAGATTTTCGAGCTCTCACTTCACACTTTGTAACACTGGAACCATACATGGCATGGTTTACAGTTTCGGCTTGCTTTCCTACTCCCAACCCAATTGAAAAATGGGTTACTGCGTTTCTCGAACGTTGAAATAGCGTAATATTCCAACGTCTATAGTACTACGAGCTGTCAAAGTCAGACCAGCGGTTCGATACGAGGATTAACTTTTTACCACGAAAGAGCCATATCACTTCGATTCCGGATTGTCAACCAAAAACATTCATTTTGAAAAATATCAAGAGATTAGGAAGTTTCTCGCGTCAGCGAAATTTCGGCTTTTGAACCATTCGGTACTGCTTCTTTCGGAACTGTTGATATGGATGTTTATTCATTTGTTTACTTATTAATTTCATTGAAAGAAGCGCTACAATCTTTGTGCATTCATGACACCATTAGGATACATGTTCAAAGTACTAAGAACAAAACTGATAATGAGAAACGAAGGAAACAAAAAAGTCTACTACCATGATTCGATTGTTCCATTCGGAGAAAGAGGGAAAGAGCTCTCAACAGTTATTCTACTTCTCTTCGGACAGTTGGGAACTAACCTATTCTGAAAATGTATCAGAGCATAAATTAGGGAATCCCCTACCTTCAAACACTCTAGACGACCACGCGGTTCTATACGGACGCATTCTATTAACGCTGGAAGTCAGAAAATTGTGGAATATTACATTGTGGTTATGGTTTGTCTGGATGTGGGTAGTAGTCCTAGTTCAGAGTTCCAATAGTACTCTTCTCGCAGAATCTTAACGGGCCACGAGCGCCATACGTTAAAGGCACAGTTCACGATAATTTTTGATAATCCAGATTGTGTCGAAAAATGGAAAAAGCTAGAAAATAGTGCGATAAATGCGAAGGAAGGGATTAGGTTGGGTTTCTGAAGTGAAAAAGGCTTCAAAATATCGTTGAAAAAGGGGCTAGACGAGAGTGAGACCAGGAGAATGAAGTAGAGTGAGGCGTTTGGACGAGCTATGCAATGTGGGCCATTGCGTACGTGTGGGTCTTGGTGCAAATGACTGACTACGATAAGCAAAAATTCATTCACTTAAGCATAATTGAACAAATAAAACCTTAGTAACAGCAAAAATAGCTCCTCTTTTTCACCATCGAGGAGTAGGAATTCAAATAAGGGATCACGGCACCAAAAAGAATAACAGAGGAAAAAGGAATGGGAAAAACGTCGCCTCATCACTCGGCGATCAGCTGATTGCGTGTGGATCCTAGAACGAATAATTTCAATCTGTATCGCCTGGCACTCGTCTGACGTGACATCGATCGAAGGGCGGGAAGCCCCGCGAGCCAGCAACAGGGAATTATCGTGAACTGTGCCTTCAAAACTAGGTCTCTCTCAATGCAATTCTGGGTAATCTGGACGGTAGAAATGCTCAGTATTTTTTCATCCACCAGCGGTATGTTTTCCTCGTCGGAGAGTACATCTCTGTCTATATCCTTATTCATTTTCATATTAGGCTTATTTATTTTCACTTCTTTTTTGTGTTGTTTTTTTTTTGCTTTTTTACGTTTTCATATGTACTGGGGGGAGAATGGGGAACGGGAAGAACGATGTGCGAAAAAGTAAACAGATGTCTGCCGTCGAAGCGAAAGACCGTCGCATTGATAACTGACAACTTGTCGCGTCTTTGAGGGACTATCTTTACAAAACTGTCTTAGATTGTTGCGTGCGGTAGTCCAGTTGCAGCTTACATTAATTGGAATTCGGGCTAGATGAGCTCATAATTAAATTGTTGAAGTCTCAATGGCATCCGTCGTCCACCCTCGGAATTGTACTGTTTTTCTAACAAATTTTCTGCATAATTCTTGCGATTGCCTGTACCTTCTGCTTTCAATGATCTATTGCTTCTGTATTCCAATTGCTAGACTCCTTCTCCAAATTTATGCGATAATTGAGTATAATTTGGTGTTTGTGTGTACTGAAGGGTACTGTTTGGATAGACTTAAGTTGCGTCCAAAACACCTTGTGGTGTAGAAGTGTAGCACTGAGTAAAACTAAGCAGGGGACCCAATTAAATATATTAAAAAAAAACTATTATCTGCTCTAACAGGTAGACTTATGGGCTTTCAGAGGCTGCTGACTTCAAGTTATTGAAAATTTTCCAATGATTTCTATCTCTTTATAAAGTTTTTTTATTTGTGAAATATTCTTTGGTGAGCTTCATGCTACATAGCTTTTGTCTGTACTGTTAGCACTGTTTCTGAACCTTTTTAATACCTCTCAAGAATGGACGATTAATAGACCAAATTTCGGTATCGGACGGGACTCGAACCCTTACTTGTGCTTTCCGGGCACCCTGCTCTATCCCTTACACTATGAGCCCTGCCATCGCCTTCTTAATGGCTTTTCCCTTTAAATATCTCCCGAGCGATTTTTGGGAGAAGCCATATTTTCAGTGGAAGCATGCACCGTCTGTAGGGGATATCATTACAGCTGTTAGGACAACATCTAGTTTGTTATACTTCCTGTCGAAGCCCGAGCCTTTAAAGTACCATGGAAGTGCCTGGGAGTGGCTGGAATCAGTGTAGGCCGTTGATTCCAACAACTCTCAGACTAGTGGTCACGCTCCTGCCACACCTCGACACAAGCTAAATAATTTGGGAGGTTTTTTTACATCCTTTTTAAACGCATATTCTAACCTGGGAAGGGCTCCAAATTGAAGAGGTCGTTTAGAAGGAGACCGTGTTTCCGGATGCTACTCCCAAGTTGCCTTACAAATTTGCCGAATGATTCTCTGGATCAAGTTCCAGGTTCCTTACATTTCCTTTAATTTTTCATTCCTAATTAGGTACAAGTTCTAAACCTAAAGATAGGGTCTACTGATAGACACTAGAGAATTCGACTTCCGCTGCAGAAATGGAAGATCAAAGTATCATGAACAGAACAAAGTATTTTAAGTATTGAACATTGGAATCGGAAACCAGTTCCTGAAAGGTTTTTTTCGATCGAGCACCTGACATTAGCACGTGGTAGCATGACGGGCTACGAAAATGTTTTTTGTGCAGCTTTTTCAAGAAAGCCCACGTGACTTTTAGTTTAATTCTTGCTGTGTTTCTCAGGGATAATTTTGTCTCTGAAGATATTTCTGAAAGCCAGTCGGTTCGAGGGAACTTGAAAGCTGGGCTTCAAAAAATCAGGGGTCAGTCTTGCGGATTGTGCAGATGTTTTTTAGTGGCGCCGCCTCCAAGTAGGACAGGCTTGGTTGGTTTGGGTGGATATCGATCAGGGGTTCGATACTGGCGGTTGATGGTGCGCCATTTACCACTACGCCACCCACACCAATATCAGATATTCATTGATAATTATTGAGATTCAGCTGGTTCTCCATACTGGCTTGGAGGGTCCGCTCACTTTATTTCTTTTAATCTGGCTTCTGACTATTTTCTTCGATAAGATCGGCTCTTTTGATAACTAAACTCATTTGGACCTACATTTCAGGGTAAAAAAGCAAAGCCCGTGACAGCATTCATTGCTGGTTTGACCGCCCCACCCGGACGAAGGATGGGGCACGCAGGCGCCATCATCAGCCATGGAAAAGGTACTGCGACGGAAAAAATCAAGGCGTTAAAGGATGCGAACGTGCACGTAAGTTCTGATGGTCGACCATTACTGCTTACTCCGAAGGTTTGTTTTAAGGACATATTTGGATTGTGATATTGTTTACAGGTAACAGACTCACCCTCAGAACTCGGAACGACCATCGCTAGGGCTCTTTTAGACGAAGTTGCTCACCTGTATGAATAGACTTATTAAGCGTCAATAAGCAGTCCTGTACTCGGTGTTTACTAGCCCCCCTAGATAAGAATTGAATCCTCAAGTTGATTTATAGATATATAACTTGTTTTTTTATATGACACTTAACGACATCGCTTTTCTCGTGCCTAATCTCTTTTTTGTTAGGTTTGTGATAAATATTATAATTTTCTCATGCCACACGTAAGTTTACAAGCGAAATTGAAAAGTAAACAATCGATGTCTTCAGGTTTCGCTGTGTACGTGAGTATTGAGTTGAATTCAACGGTAGTTATTCATTGAAAGTGGTTTTCTTTTGCGAAATGTTGTTCGGCCGCCATCAATCTTTTTGGGGATGGGTCACACGTTCCACTTCCAGTTCGGATCTTTGAGGTGTTTGTATGCGTTACTAGCACCTGGGAAAGGGAAGGGAAAAGGGACGATTGCCTTGTTCTATTCTTCCCCTGAAGAATAGCAATGCAGCCGGGGAGGTTTTGAAGGTAAAATCCTCCTTAAAGCGAATAATATGGGGAACTATAACCCCCTGGGCTGCAGAAGTAGTATGCGTAGATGTAATGCCTTGTAAGATAATCTTTAGGCTCTCTGCAAAACTTTTTCTGCCCTCATACTCGGCTTTCCAAACAATCATTAGCTCAATCAAAGTGAGTCAGTGAAATCACGTGTCTTGCTGCTTCTCAGGCAGGAAGTTTTGCAGAAGTGCCTTGTTGACCATCGGGTATCATCGGTAGAATCAGTCAGGACTCATTATTTCCAAATTGTTACGATAAGGTTTTGACAAAGAATTGAAAAGCGTTTACGGAATTTACAGAGAGAAGGTTATGTAATGGCAAACGGTGCACCCTTACTCATAGCTCGGGGACGAATCCCGGACTGATTAATTGGTATCAGACTCGTCTGAGAAGATAGAATACCTAACGGAGCAATGGCTTGCTTCTACAACTCACTAGGTAAGCCACAAGCGTACTCTGAACGCCACCATGTTTCCAAATGGGAGTTGATGGTGAGGTATACCCCAGACAGCGGTACTTCTCACCGAGGGTGAGGTGCGGTAGGATCGATATTGTCGCATCGCGGCGAGAACACCGCGCGCGAAGGAATGTAGCAGAATGCAGCAGCAGGTAAGAAATACAGGAACAAAAGAACTAACAGTAGTAGAATCATTCCAAAAATAATGATTGCATACACGAAAACCGATCCTACTGCCCGTATCAAGCATCAGGGGTTTCACTGCGGCTACCGTATCCTTCTTGTGGGTATTCAACATTCCCCCTCACAGCGCGCGACCGACTGTGCGTGATCGGATGCGGCGAGCGCGACGCGACTTTCGGGGAGAAATTACCACACTCGTGCACCCCAGAAATGGGATTGATAGAAGCTGAAAGGCTTTACACCTACTCTTCAGACAGGAAAGGTTTATTTTGAAACGAAATTTGCTCATTTGTTCATCAAAAAAAATAACACAGAGTCAAGCAAAGGCGTCAAAGATACATACATACAAGTGGCAGAATCATGAGAATAGCCGACTAGATTGTTCTGTAGCTCATCAACAAATAGACAACAAGGTAAAGCAATGGAAAGAGAGAAAGGGAAAGAAGGTCACACTCATATCTGGTCAAATACATAACCCGAAGCCAGAAAATTAGTGTTTACATAGTATTCACTGAGAATGAAGAGATTTGACGGCGACGATGACGAATGACAAGAAGTAGAGATGTGAACGATGAAATTTGGACCACCATTTTACAGCTTATATTCACTAACAGACATCATTTTCGATGGAATATGGCAGAATTACTTCAAAAGCATTCGTTTTATAAAATAACACATTTTGAAGGGAAACTTGGAACGTAGCATTGCCTCTCGTTCCCATAGACGTAGAAAGTGCCTTTCGTTTTTCCTAGGGTATAGTAAACCTTGCAGACGGGGATCGCCACCAGACAATGTCGTTGCTGAAATATCTTACGGTCTGCGAATGAATCTTTTAGGCTGAAATCTAGTAGGGTGAATGTGCTAAGTTGAATGGTTCAAGGGTTCTAAATCATAAGAGGTATTGGTGGAGTATAATGCTTGCAGAAGCTTGACCGAACTCTTTCTGGGAGGCGCCCATATATCTACTCGACCCCAAAATCTTCCGATTTGAATCCTATCACTGCCAACGCTCAAAGGCTAAGTTAACGATAACTCTGAGATACCTAACCTAGCTGAAGTAATGGATGCTATGGTGAGGAATAGTGCAAAGTTGCCAAAAGAAGGACGAAAATAGGAGGATCTCAGGGAATAGAGGGCTTAAGGGAGGTGTGTAGAAAGAGAGTTATACGAGATTATGCGTCTGTAACGGTCTGGAAGTCTCCCACACATGCGTACTATTCGCTGGTGTCCTAACACTTCATTCTTAATGGTGCAGCCTTAGCAAGACGACACAATATGGCCCCTTTTGGGTGTGTTCGACGGCTAAGCCCNGTTATGAAGCCTTTATATCACCCTGTCAAGGCCGTTCCTCGAGCCGACTATGTCCCGCATGCTGTACTGGGGGCCACCGGCTCTTGTTCGGAAGGAATCTCGAAAACCATTTTTGTCGTGAGCTGTGCCTTCACCCAATGTTAAGCCACTCCTTTCAGGTTTCATCCTTCAAAGAGATGGTACTGTGAAGGCAGCGGGCTAGACCGGCGTGGCCTAGAGCCCATCCAGAAAGTAGCACAGTAGCAGCAGTTTCGCCCCGGTATCCTATCCTATATACTACAAATACGCCCTTTAGGCAAAATTCATTTCATTTGAAGTGAACTGCGAACCCTTCTCGATCGTAAGATGGACAGCGTCAGTGCAATGAGTGACAGATGTTCGTATTGGAATTGAACTTGTCGGACATTTTTTATCCTTGTCATTCACGCGGTCACCATTCGTGCTCTTGCGGGGGTGAAGGCCAATACTGACATCTTATGAGATTCGTTTGACAATCATCCTATGAAAAGGGTGAAACAGGAACAACAGCCCAAGGACAAGCGTAAAGCGATCGAAGCTGTGAACGCTTCCAGGATGCGCCGTGCATTCTAAGTCTATGTCCAGGTGAGTAGCAAACAGGCATGCCCACAAGCGGCTTATGCAGTGCCCATGGAAATTTCGATGTTCACTTACACCTCCAAACGTGAAAGGAGTGTATTGAAGTCTCTGTTTTTCTTACAAGTCCCGCAATAGTTTCATAGATCATGTTCTGGGAAGGGAAAGGGGAAATATTCAGAGCTCCCAAGTGGACAGTGTGAACAGTTGAGAAGTAGTAAATACTCGTATAGGCACCAAAGAAACTGTGTAGTAAGCATACCTGAATCACGCGACACGTTCCCATACTGTTCTGGAGGTGTTGTGCACAGAACAACTTGCTTTTCTCGTTGACCTCCTCAACGTGGTATTTACTGATTGGGAGAACCTAAACGAAAAGTGAGTTTTCTGGGTATCAGTAGTGCGGGATTCAAGAATTCAAACTTTCATCTATTTTGGATTGAGGACAGTTTAAGACATTTGATAGCTCATTCCGAGAAATCTAAAGTTAAAGGACAAAGAAAGGTTGAAAATGGTTGACATTGATGAGGCGCACCCGCCACAAGGATCGCCTTATATATTCTCAGTTCATCCGAAGAGCTCCACGGGTCCAAAAGGTATCCCATTTTCCTAGCAATGGTTAAGCAATGTTAGATTGCTTCGTTTGAAGAATATAATCTCGATCAGACTCATGAAGGAATCCAAATGCCTCTTAGTGCCTCAAAAACCATTTTCCGTACCCAGNCAAAGTGATAATTGGAGCCTCTACTATTATATTTCAGATGAGCCTGCCTCCTGTGCAGCAATACCCGACAGATGAAAAGTTTTGTTATCCGAGTAGGTATAAGGCCAAGCATGTTCGATATATCTTAGATGTTACAGATTTTGAATAGGAATAGGACGACCCAGATGATCTTTCCACTGCAACGTAACAGGACGTTCATGTGTCGTTGAGAAGTCTGTTCAGTAGTACTGCACCTCTTGTCTCTCACTGGAGAGGCTTCCCGCCGACAACTTGACAATTGGCTAACTGAATGGCCCGATGCTTTCTTCTCACACATTCAGCCATAGCGAAAAGTACCAGAATGAACTAATTTACAACAACTAAGTTTTCTGTGTCGAGCATGACTGACATGTCTTATATGTAGTACTAATAATCTTGATGCTAGGCTTGAGTTGTATTGTTGTCATACACCAATGACCACCCCGTCCCATTGCCCAGAACCCTTCCTTATTGCGTCGTACAAGTGACGGGGTTTTTTTCCTTGTCTGGCGTGATGGGGCGGAGGTGGTGTAATGGCAAGTGGCGCACTTCACACAAACATGGTCACAGGTTCGAACCTGGCGCCTAGGCAAACAAAACCTTCCATCCCTCCGGGGTCGGTCAGTTGGCCCCAGACTTGTCTGAGGGGATAAAAGCACTGACTTGTACTTCGGCTGGCCACCGCAGGTCATTGTAGAGGCCACCTACACATCCACTACGCCACTACGATTCTGAATGGAAGTCGAATGCGTGGGGGCACCCTCAGACGGGATTGATTGACGCCCCAAGACTTTATTCTTTATCTGGCGTGATTAGTGCATGGGATTACTGAACCACAATGTTTTTCGGTCTGCGGAATTTGTCTTATAACGGCAATAGTGTCTCAGTGCGGTAGGGAAGATGCAAACTACTTCAGCAGTTCCGAGGTGATGAGAGTCTTTTTACAAAAGCGTGAGGATGTACTGCAACCATGAAAAACTCATATTAAACTAGCTAGTACAACCAATGATTACTGTATCGTCAGGAGGTAGAAACTTGGGACTCAAGCTGGTTTCTCTCTTAATGGCATGTCGGCCTATAAAAATTTAATGGGAGTTGTACATCAGTTCGTTGTGGTATGTTTCCACATGGCTAATTGTGTGGGAAGAAAGCATCGGGTTAGTCCTGGGAAGTCCATCAAGTTAGAGACAAGAGGTCTACTACCAATCAGACTAGCAAACGAAATAACAATATCTTGCTACTTCGCAATCGAAAAAATCAGCCAGATCGACATATTCCTATTCAGAAGTATGTAAAAGCTACCATAAGACATGCTTGGCTTCTGGTTCACGGCCAGGAAGGTTGAACATCTTTCCTATGTGCTCTATTCTAATACTGGAGTGACACTTCGAATTCTTAAGACAGCTTTGGTAGTGAAGCATTCAGCTGACAGCATTTTGTCACTCGGGTGGGTCTATAGGCTTGTTGACATTAGCTGGTTGACAATACCCAGACGGGAAATCTCCTATGGGATGTATAACTTTCGTTTTCCTTTGATTTCCCTTGATAACAACGCCAAAGAGAGTCAAAGAAGGCATATATTCAGATGCTTCACGATCAGTACCCTCAACAGTTCCATGATTTGATTGAAACTTACATATGGTTGCTCTTCACAAAAGATCTCTTTGCCTTTGACCTGTGCTAGGAGTTTTTCTGGCACTTCAGACTCGGTGAAGAACTCAGAACGTTCGGTTTTGCTGAAAAACGGTTTTCGTTATGACTCTGTGGGACAGTTCCCTGTCGTTCTTATCAATTCCCCAATCAATGTTCTTAACATAATGTCAACAAACAAAAACTGTTGTCGTTTATGGATTGTTATGTCTACTGGCAGTGCATACCTCCCGAACACTTGACTTTAGGGGGACTTTTTGATCAGTTTCCATGTGAAGGCCCCAAAAGTCCACCAAAAGCCGGAAAAAAAGGTCAAAGGAATCTTCGAATAGTTGCTTCGCTATTCATATTCTATGAGAATCAAAAAATCCAACTTACAAGTAGACTTTCAGCTTGGTGTAGTTCCGGACGCTGCCTGTACCAGCACAGGCTGTGCATGGTTTTTTACCACCACCTTTACAATGATGGCATTCTTTTACACCACGTCCATGGCACATGTAACATAAGTCATGTGTTCCTGAAATCTCAAAATCAGGTCGTACGAGAAGATGAACTGCTCATGTTACATTCTCCCCCGCGACTCACCAAAATCCATGGGCCGAGAATAAGAAAGGGGTGATTAAAGTGACAAAAAGCATGGCGATACTACCTATTAATTACCATTACCATTAATCGGCGATGAGGGAGGAGTGGCACAAAAATCACTCAAATACGTGGTGTTGAGGTAAAATTTGAAGTAAAGGTTACCTATTCCAGGTGGTGGAACGCCGGTTTTGGACATGAAGTGCATAGGTGTGCCAAGTCCATAGGTTTGATTAGCTCCTTGACGAACCATCGCTGTAGACGAAGAGGCATAGCCTCGTGTCAGATCAGCCTGAATGGAAACCATCAGAAACTCGAACAACCACGGCAGGAGGGATTATGTTTGAGCAAGAAAGCCGTAGACTCACGTGTGGAAATGTGGCGACCATGGGATGAGTATAGACGGCAGGATGAGCGACACCCGACTTCATTCCTGTTCCTCTAAAAAACCAACATCTAATATTAATTTGGTGTTGAAGACTCCAAAGCCTTACTCCGCCTCCGAGCCCCAAGATTCCTTTCCCTGTGCTAGGGGTTTGGAATTTAAGCCACCTCCAAGGGGGAGACTACAAGATAACCCCCTTATTTTAGGCCCTTATCGGGGATAGAGCCTCGGATTGACACTCGCTCAGGCAAATCAAGTCTTTATTCCCTCCGAGACCAATGAAGTGGTGCCAGATTCGTCTGAGAGGATAAAAGTGCTGAATTTCATATTGGCTGGCCACCGTAGGTCATACAGTCGTGTATAGGCCACCGCAATCCTCAATGGAAGTCCACCGCATGGAACAATCCCACAAAAGGGATGGGCTACATCAGAAGTCTTCATACTTTATCCTTTCCGGATACATTTTAAACTCCTCAGGCTGACGATTCGGGGACATAACCTCAGTCTCGGTAGTGTAAGGGATAGAGCACGGGGCCCGGAAAGCACAAGTACGGGTTCCAGCCCCGTCCGAGACTGAAGCTTTGTCCATAAATCGCCAACCTTGTGAGACTTTCACATTGCGTACTTCCTAGACTTTTGTGGAATGAAGTTTATTAATCCTTATATAAATGCTGTGCTTTGGTGGATCGAAGCACGTGCCAGTGGTCAGTGATGTTTCCGCCAGCGTACGTTCTCGTACTCATCCAAAATTACGGAGGTGGTTCCAACACGTGATAGCAACAACAGTTGCCAATGAATTTCGCTGGAATCCCGACACCTACACCCCAAATTCCGTTAGAATGTAAGCCATGTTCTTCTACTGAACTTTACAATATGACTCGATGGTAGGGTTCGCCGACGCTACTGAAAAAATTCAAAAGCTGGATAACGACACTTCATTGCCTGTCCAGCCTCCGCAGCGAACTCCAGCCAAGGCCAATACACCAGCGCCAAAAGAAATCTGGCATTTCCTATGTGGCAGATCGGTGGAGCACGCGCCCACCCGGGTGCGGCGATTTGACCATTACAATCGATCTTGACCGCACTCGGTCACTGTCGTTGGTATATGGTCATGTATCAGAAGACCTCGAAGAAGTTGATGCGACTTCTTTTGATAGGGACCTGCTTCCACATGCACTATAATCCACACCAACGCAGATTATGTGGTCCATGCACCCTTATGTTTTACAGACAACAATAAAATTGACAGATGAACGCGGAGTACCTGCAGAAGTTGCATTTGTCCGTACCGTAACCTCGGCAATGGAAGCAATGATAGGTGCCTTCAGAGTTGCACACGGAACACGGATTTATCGTACTGCTGCCAGGCATTTCCAAAACTCGAACCTAAAATCACTCGGCTGGAACCCATTTGAATAGTCGTCTTTTCGGACACATCATCGCCTCTAGAGACCTTTTGTCATCGATTATGGGTCCAGAACTGACCTGGTCAGTGAACATTCTCGATGGCTGCACTTCATAATCCCATGGATTCGTGATGGACGTTGTGGCATGGTCAAGCAGCTGACCCGGATTAACGGCTTCAGCCGCTTCTGATGTCGATCGTGCTTCCGTGAATGATTCAAGTACATACTGGAAATACAATAATTTATAGCCGTTAGATTCTCAGATGATCAGAAAACTCACATGCAAACAGCTGAGCATCTCAAGCCGCTCAAACTGCATTTTCTTGAAGGCGGACGTCTTCCAGTAGCGATGCCGCTTTACTTCACGCAATAGAGCATCTTGTACTTCACTTTCACCCAATGGTATGATATCGTCGAAGTATCTATTCGAAGCTGAGCCTTCTGAAAATCGAGATCGATAGGAGGTGAACTGATCTATGATGCCTTCTTGCACTTTTCAGCACCAAAACATTTTTCTCTACCAAAGCTCACATTGAAGGCATCGTCTTTCAAATACATTCTCCAAAGTTACGGAGGTTCCCTTTTAATTACGAACCTAAAAGCTTTGTTTACGTAGGCACTGCAATAGCGACTGTTTATGTTTACTAAAAGAGTGTTTTTGTTTCTCAGAGAAAAACTGGGTAAATGTAGGAAATATGAATACGTAACCAATGAAATCGAACGTTGGACCCCCTACGAAGTGAAGTAAGAGGCTGGGAAATCGAAGGGAAAGGAGTATTCGCGTCTTCGAGAAATCCTCCTATTTCAAATATTTTTTTTTTGAAAATAAACACCTACAAAAAGGCAAACTAAACATGCTTACTGCTTTCTATGAATTTTCTTATAAATTGAAATCAGGCAAACTTNCCCCCCCCCCCCCCCCCCCAAAGACCCCATTTTTACAAACATATGCTTACTTGAATCGTCCAATAGTCGGGCTATGTGTGCATCCGGTGGTGGTGCTGGTGATACTACCTTATACCGATTCATATTTGACAATGTGGTTCCTGTGAAGAACACAGTCGAATACGGTAGTTTCTGGAGTAGCTACATAGAGATCTATACGGTACGTATCGAGCGAAATGATTCGACGAATTTTAAATTACTAGATGTCCATGGCTGTCCTTTGAAGTGGACGCTGGCGAAAAAACGTATACAGAGGACAGCTCGGGGACCACGAAGCACGATGATAGCAAGGAATCAAATGGGAGAGGAAAAAGGGCCATGGCAGTGGTAGGAAAGTTTGCAGAAATGTCATAGTTGACAGGTGTTTTTAAAGATAAGGAAAGCGAAGGGTAAACTGCTGAGTTGTCAGATTTCGTGGGAGACTGTTGCAGTAGGAAAAGCCGATTCAAAAAAGCATTTAGTAACAGAACTGTAGGTACCCATTTGTAAGTAGCCACTAAAAGTTGGAGAAGGAGTAGCCAATCAATTCAGAAATCAATCGAAAGTTCAGCTTGGATTGGTTGACTGCGTGAAGTTGGAGCTTTGAATCATTCTTACAGCTTGAACAATAAGAGCTATCACAGCGATAGAGCTGTGAAGCTGCTGTGAATGTTACTTAGATTACTTTTGATAAATGGGGAAGAACTTTTTGCCGGGAGTTCCAGTTGGGTCATCTACATTCATCTTTGTCAGCCTTAAAAGAACAAGTAGTTGGCAGTTTTTACAAAAGAAAGCCCTTTCAGACATTGATGAATGAACTCCAACGATAAGTATGTGGAAAAGCGCATTCATCGCTTTGACTACGGTAATCTAAGAACTTGGTTCTTTGATCACCATTGAAACTTGGCTCCTCCAGCTCTTTTTGGAGTCTGAGGACCACTTAGGATGGAGAATCAGAAGCCAAAGGCACGGTAACAAACGGGACCCGGTACAAAGATCAAACTAAATCAAGTAATGCAGTGGCCATTGTTTCCTTCAGACTGTATTTCTGGGTACTTCTAAATCGAGGAAAAGGTTCTACAGTAGCCAAAGTTGCTCTTACCACAAATAAAACAGGTTTAGATAAAGAACAGGCTGAAGACGGGGAATGGAAGTAGTAATCCTGAAGCAAAACGAGCAGTTTTCTCTACACGGCTGACAAACCATTTTCGCAACTAAAAACATGTCCACAAAAGGAGCTCATCAGTCCGAATGGATCAACAAACTGCAGTAGTCACTAGCATACCAGCCTGGACTGCCTGCTAGGAATGAAATTCAAAGCATTTGAGCCTGTATCGCCTCAGACGTGTCAGGTGCCCTTAAACTTGCTTCGGAGAGGTAAGGAGGTGTCTATAGATGACGAGGAAAGGGTGATGAGAGCGGGATTCGACCAAGAGTTGGTTCTCGGGCAGTGAGTGCGGTAGCGACAACATCATCCGTTGTTCCTACTCCATCTCGGGGACCGATCTGTGATAAGCGATTGGTAGCACTTATACAAAGAGGGCATGAACCTTCTCTTGAACATATTATTGTCGCCCGGATTCTCCCCCTCAAGAATTCGAACTGGGTTCCGAAAGAAAATCAACGGTTGGTGGAACAGGTGCGTAAATCCGTTGCTGTCAGTTCGAGCATCAAAGGGCAAAACAAGGGCAGTCGTATAAATGAAACAGAGCAGAAACACTGCATCGCTGTCGAAAACGAAGGTTCAGCACCTTCACCAGATCCTCGTGTCTTAAGCGGAGCGTTTTGAAAGCTGGCAACGGATTTCACGCGATCTGTTTACTTTGGCACCCGCCCAAACAACAGCTGGAGCGAAGAGAAGGGATGTGCCAAAATTCCGAAATTAATCGCGGAACCTTGGCCTCTCAAGAAGACGATAGCGTCGAAACGTAAGGACGTTGGTTGAAGCAAAGTTGAGAGAGAAGTTGAAGTCTCTTTGAAATTAACATTCATTTGACCACCCCAAAGAGAAGTTTTCATTTAGAATTTAGGTCTCCCACAAATTCTGCACACCTTGGTCCTCCTTCGTGGGGGGATGTGACGTAAGAGACATCTATTTGACAACCCCGAAAACAGATCCACCTTTGAAATTTCCTTCTGGGATTCATGTCCCACACGAATTCGGAACACTTTGTGGTCCTTAGATTGGAGTTCTCGCCATTTTTTTCTACCACCTAATGAAAAAAANAAAAAAAGGAGATTAAGACTCTCCTCTGCAGGCTTCGTCGATCTATGCGAAGCGTGTCGATGTAGCTGGACAATTGATGTATAACCGGGTGATAATGAGTGCCTTAAAGCTGTCATTTACAGCTGATCACGACGGAATTGTAACTCGGGCTGTTCCATCCGTCAGCCGTCGTTAGTCCCGGGAATTGATGATGACTTGGCAGGCAGATGATGCAATGCAATACTACACCTTAGCAAAGACGAACGAACTCGATAACAGCTTAGTACAGCCGATGAGCACCAGGGGCACTTCAACGGTCAAAAATACATAAATAGCTCATATTACGATGGCAAAAAGCTGTAATAATACCTGTGTAATCTTTTTTTACCCACACATTCAATATACCCAAACCATTATGGGAACGCCAGGAATGCAACCCACGCCTACTCAGTCATCGAACTGGGCGAGTTCTGGTAAGCTGGTTTGTGGAGAACGGGAACGCCAGAGTGGCATGCACTGGGTGCTCCAAAGGCGCATCACATTATTTTGAGGTATCCTGTATAGGTCGAAACGCGAGATTGTTGGTTGAGGGTAGTGCATGGGAGGCAAAGAAGGCGAGAAGATCCGCCGATTCCGTGAGTTAGAAGGCATCTCTTATAAAAATGATGAAAATAGAAGTAATACGAGAGTACCATGACGAAAACGGCATGGAAGGGTTATTCGGACGAGACTTCAGTTATTGCATTTGCGCAGGGGCTGACTGCATCAAGTCGAAGTTGTCTAAAGCTGCCTTCCACTGGTCACCAAAGGTCATGACAAGTTGTTCGAACTCCCTACGTGGTTCCCTTTGTGAATGTAAGGTCTCCAATATACTGTTGAAACATGTCTGAATGTACATACGGGACAATCTTGAGCCCTTATAACACTCTATCTAGACCATTTTCCGACGTGACAGCGCCATATGGAATATGAGGGGCCACAGATTAGGGTGATACCTCAGAAGATGTTTTCATCGTGAACCGTGCCGTTACCCATTCGAAGGTCTCTTTCTACGTATCGCACTTTGAGGGATCGTTCGTAATATTGGCAATTAATTTCAGAAAACATGTCCGTACTGAAGCAAATGAGGAAGTGAAGGTGTTCCAAATAGATCTAGCATTTCAATGACGTGAGGCTGAGCTGACATTCGTTTGAGCCAGCATGAGTACGCGGGAATTTGAGCTTAATGAAGTGACTATTGGTATCAGGGAAAACGGAAATCGGAACACGGAAATGGAAGAAAAAGAGCAATATTAATGGACAACAAGTGACCGATTCTGTAGATAGGGAAGGCAGAATGAACAAAGCTCTTTGAATACAGTCGTTAGGGACCCTCAGACCTATTCCCGAAGCTTTTATATCGCCGTGAAATTCTTCCGGGTGGATGAGGCGAAGGCTTCGGTTCCAAGCTATATAAGAAGAAAACTTTTGCATTTCTCATATACAGTTGTAATTCATGATAGGTGAAATGATCCAGTAGCTGTAGAAGTAGGTCCAGAGAAGAACCTGACTGAAAAAATATTCCTGTACAGCCTGCCCCAACTACCGCCCTATATGCCCTTCTCCTTAATCTAGGCCAAAAACGGTTTCCTTATCGAAAAGATTCTATTTACTAGGTAGATTGTGGATCCCATTCAGTCAATGGGAAGTCATAGTAGGGCTCTGACCAGTATGAAATATCTGCTGTGGAATCCTCAACCCGGCTGCTGTCAACGACGTCCGTTGTAACTCGGTCAGGGTAAATTCGAAAACAGAACGTATGAAAAACAAAACATTAACACAACTCCAAACAGCTGAGCCTAGAGGCGCCTGATCGCAAACTGTTCCAACGAGCAGGCTGTGAGTAACAGCCTCCCAAATGACAGAGCCCGAGGGTAGGACAATGTCGTGGAGGCGTGGTCATCTAGAGGATCTTCTATAAAACAAATGAGTGCTGAGGACATACATCGCTCAAAACCACTCAGACATCGGTAAAAAGCTTGTGGGCAATTGAATTCCCAAGTCGAGCACTACAGATGGAGTTACTTGAGAGTTGTTGTTTACTAAGTACCAGTCTTGGAAAAGCTATTAAAACTAATGAAGGGTGCGAGCATAAGCGTTGCGTAATGGTGAGGGTGGAGTTAGACGGATATGGTTTGATGGTCGCCAGTTCTTTGGCACCAAATCGGTTCTGCTTCTGTTCTTCAGGGGTTCCTGGAACAGGAAGCGGGAAGAAGGCTGGGATCGGGTGGGAAAGATGAAAGCTATGCTTTGTAAAGTCCTACAAATCGCAACTTTCCTGAAATCACACCTAATAATAGTGCCGGAGGGCAACATGCGTTGTGAACTCGTGAAAAATATTGGAAGGCACCCGCCAACACCGTGGGTGGGACACCGTGGGTGAGAAGTATCGCTGATAAAGGTGAAGGGTCAACAAAAGAGTCAAAGCTAGCGAAGGCAGGAGGACTGCTGCCACCGTCGGAATCCGGGCGCGTTGAACCCTATATGGGAGGGATTGGGGGAGGATGTATCCCGCTAGAAGCTGGCAGAATGAACGATTGTGGGTGGTGTGAAGAAAGCGATCTCACGGGATGAAGAAGCTCTGGAAAAACAACACATCCACACACACATCAGTCAGTCTACTCGACTGCTCGCTCTTGTTGTGTAGTGGGCGGGCATTATTGACAGAGGGGATAGAGATGTAGGCG